CGAAACTAGCGCTTTGTCAGACTGTCCCTAAATTTTGCTGCAGGGTATTTCTGCCAGATTTGACCTAGGCCGCAAAGACTTTAAATTTGTCAAAAATAAATAAGTAAACAAGAAATTTCACCATCGCTGTAGTACATTGCTCGCATAAACTTTTAAATCCTTGAAAACAAATGAAAAGTACATATGCTAAAATAACGGCAATTAGAATTTATTACCAACGGAAGACGTACACGCCCACGCATAGTTGCCACGCTATTGTGCCTTGGCGCACATATGCGCCAATCTATATTTATATATGACATTTAAGTATCCATTTATAAATATATTCATATGTACTTGTTTTTTATCGCCGGCTTCGCTCAGTGTATGAAATTCGTCCGTGTTACATTAGAAGTAATTTATTTCAACAAAACTCAACATATTTAAACTCAGCTAAATACGTAGTAGATTTTAACATTTTTCTATTTTTTTAACTCCCTTCAAAATATTTTCGATCCGGAAATTTCTTAAAGCTCTTTTCTCTGACACCCGTATAGTGGTACATATTTCAGTTACCTAATTCCCTCAAGCCAAGTTGAATTTGAACTTTTTTAATAGGAGGCCACTTTCCCACATGTAGTTAGAAATAAAAACTTCTCAAAATCAGAAAGTTTTTTTATTAAATTTTCAAAAATATTTTAATTTAAAATATTAAATAATTTGAATTAAATTTATTATTTCAAACCTCAAAATACTCTAAATGTGTAAACAGGAGATTGCTCATTACATACGTTTTCGTTTGACACCCATATTTTAATATTTATTTCATTTAATAAAATAAAATTAAATTAAATTCGGCTTTTCAAACGGCTGGCAACCCAATTCAAAATATTTTCATACTAAAATCTTTTTAAACCCCTTTCGCCTGACACCCATATTGTGATATATATTTCAATTAACTAAATCCCCTCATTCAACCAGAATTTTACTTTTTAAACAGGTGGCAACCCTCATAAATTTAGTTTAAAAATTAAACCTTTTCAATTTTATTTCGGTCGATAGCCGTAAAAAGAATTCCCTTAACTTTTTAAATAATTTGAACTTAAGTTTTTAAACAGGTGGCAAGCCTCTTTAAAATAAATCCATACTTCAAACTTCATAAACTAAACCTTTTTCGTCTGACATCCATATTGTGATACATATTCCAATTGACTTATTCCAAACTTGAATTATACTTTTTAAACAGTTGGCAACCCTCCTAAATGTGGCTTAGAAATTAAACCTTTTCAAAACCATTTCGCTTGATAGCCATATTATAATAATTCATTCAACCTATTATTAAATAATCTGAACTTAACTTTTTGAACAGGTGGCAAGAGCTTCAAAGTGATTTTAATCTGCAACCCTCTTTAACGTATTTCGTCCGACCTCCTACATGTAGTTTAAAAATCAAGCCTATTCAAACCATTTCGATTGGTACCTACATATGTATGTATATTGTGGTAATTCATTTAAAACACTTCAATTTAATTTTTAACAGGTGACAACTCTTTGCTTGTTCTTTTCTCCGAGGTGAAAACGTAGAAATACGTGTTTCCACAATCGGACCACACCAACATAGAGTCTCCCGATGTCTAGCTTTAAGCAAGTTTTTTAATTGATTTTAATTTTTCAAAGAGGTGGAAACGTTGTTAAAAATATTGTGCAAATTGAGCTTTCTTAAATCT